TTGTCACCTGGAGGGTAGAAATTTACCACCTGGAGATGGTGGCAGTATCGTTTCTGGTGCAACAGCACTAGCCTAGACATGGGATTTCCTTGGAAGCCCAAAGTAGGTAAGCAGCTGGCAACCAGCAAACGTACAATCCAGGCGTGAAGAGGCAAGTGGACTATATTTGGAAGTCTGAGGTAGGCAACACCAAACCGTCAAATATCCTAGTAAGCTACTATCCAGCGCCATCCAGGTAGGCTGCATCAATTCCTTTCTACATGGAGAATTGACGCCATCAGATTGGTGCGTCTGCCTATTTCGCCTGATCACATAGACATGGTTTGCAACTTAGCAAAGACCAGAAGACGCACAGTGTCTAACCCTCACCGAGTTGTAACACCTGGAGCATATCTCATGCTGCACCAACAAGTGTCAAACAGCGTTCACGTGCTGCAAGCTAGAACCTGCTTGTCGGAACCATCCAAATGCCTCGTGGGCAATTGGCACCCTCCGACCAGCAATGGAATGTCACATCAACGGCCATTCTGAACTTCCTTGGCCCTATAAGCAATCCAAGCCTTGACTTGCCATGAAAACACTTCGCTTGGTCCACTCGTGCTTCGCCCCGGTTTCTCGGTCCAAGGGGCGAAAAAGGCTCGGACCAAAGGGTTCTGCTCCTCGCCTTGCTCCACGCGCTCGCCTGGGGGCAGTAAGCTGAACACCAGCGGCACTAAGCTGATTCATGACTGAGGGCGTTCAGCTTGAGGTAGTTGACACCTAGAACACTTGCTTGAGATGACTCTAGTTGATAGCAGAAAAAAAAGGTTCTGCTCATCGCGCCCTTAAAACGAGTTCGAGATCTCTGCCTTTGCTTGTGCTGCCAGCCTGGGACAGGTCCAGGGCGGCCCGAAACTGGGCCAGGCTCGACCCAGGACCCGCCCGAGACCGTCCAGAACAGGAGGAAGCAACAAAGCAAAATGGGGGAACACCACAATTTGCGGAGAGAGAGCGAGAGAGGGGGAGTGGGTTCATGTTCGACAAAGCGCAAAGCCAGTGATTCCAGTTGCCAGAGTGGCAGATGACGCAGATGACACCTTTATAGGGCTCTGGGTACCCGGTTTCTGGTTGAACCCTCCCCCGCGCTTGCTCATCGTCCGAGGAACCCAGGACCTGCAGAGCGCTGCGGGTCGCCACCTCGTCCTCTCGGTCAAAACAGCGAAACGGCCAGAAGGCCGGCACGACTCGAACGGTCCATGCTTAAATCTCGATGTTCATCTTAATCCAATGACCGTTGCTCAGAAATGAGTCCAAGAGCGCCCGCCCTCCCCACAAAAATCAACCCGAGGCTCCCTCTGAAAGGAAAATGGTCTGCCAGGACGCCCGTTCCATGCCCTCCTGGCAGGTGGGGCACCGCACCTTGCCCGGGCTGTCAGGCAACGACCTGGCCCCGGGTTGCTCGCTTTTCGGGGTTAGGCGCGCGCGCCCTTTGCTCGCGAGCGAGGTGAACGGTAAGCCAACCGTGGGGACGAAAAACCGTTTGGCGCATCGTGAAAATCATGGTTGTCATGGCGAGGTGTCTCTTCTAGATGGATGTGTTAAGACTGTAGCAGGAAATGGTAAGTACTATCCACTGTGCTTGAAAGGAACAGGATTGTGAGCCATTGAAAGGCCATCAAAACGACTAAAATATGAAGTGTCCCAACGCGCAGGTTGCCTGATTTCACAGAAGCGGTAGCCATCTCCTGACTCCCACAACCCTAGCTTGGAGTGTTTTTGACAAGTTGGGAGATGCTTCCAGCAAACAAAGCTGTAGAATAGGTAGTCTTTGTCTGCCTCAGCGGTTGCTTCCGATTGGTTGCCAACTGGTTGCCTACGCTGCTGGTGACTGGAAACACTGGGCGTGTTTCCGGTGAAGCTGGCCACCCCAAATCAAACAGACCAGCACCCCAAACCAGGACCCCCCCCAATGACTGTTTCTTAATGAGATTCTTCTGGAGGTACTTGTGTTTTGAACATGGGAAAAAAGAAAAAATCATTGAGTGTGCTGGAATGTGTGCCCAGCATCCGCGGGCGATGCGGGCTGGGCAAATGGGGGGATCCTACATAAGATCCTCCAGGTATGAGAGTCAAACAGTTGGGAATCTCCCAATCACAAACGCAAACTAGTTGTCCTCCTTCACTGTAAAATCGCCGTGTCAAGCATGAGGCCATTTAAGAGACACTGTCTGCACTGGTTTCCTTCGCCTGGTTGAAAGGCAAGCTCTTTCCACGGGTCAACGCGTTGCTTAAGGAGCCGACACCTGAAGAAACCTGAGCTGCAAGACGTGGGCTCAGATTCCCTAAGCCTAACCCCGAGACACCAGCGCCCCACTAGTGATGCGGACAGCCTCCCAAACCGTTCCAAACTGAACCGCCAAACTTGGGACCCTTCTGCCGCAAATGTCAACAACTCATTAAGGTATTGCTTATCTGGCAGGGGCCAGTCATTTAAGTCCATGTTGCCCGATGCTGGCTGGGGCTGCGCAGCAAACACCCGCCCTTTGGCCTCTCGAGGCATCGTAGTCGCTCCACAAGGGCCGGATCCAAGTTCAACTCCTGCGCGGTTTCCCCTTGCAAACATTCATAGACATGTGCCGCCTCAAGACACGAAAAACCGTGGTCGAATCAATTCGGGATGGTGGTCCCCCCCAATCGAAGATGAAATATCCAACAATCTGAATCCCTACTTGACAGTTGCAAGTTCAACCGTGCCACCCTCTATGCTTGGCTTCTCGTCTTCTGTACATGAAGACCTGTCGAAATGATGGCCGGCTTTCCAGAACCTCTGATGGAGTCTAGCTACATTCGTAACCAATGAGCTGCTGCGTTTGTTTTCCACCATCTGCGCACATCTCGGGATCGTGGCTGTCCTGTTTGGCTAGATTTCGCAACGGCGGTCCTTCGAGTTGCCAACAAAAGCTAATGTTTTTTTGTTTTGTTTTTTTCTAACAACGTTCAATCGGTCGCTCCTGGGATCCTATGGGCCGAACTGCAAAAAGCAGCAATTTGTCCCAATCCCCAAGCGGATCCTCTGCCACGTCCGCCGCGCTCTGGTGTCGCACTCGCGCCTTGCGCCGGCGCCGGGGGGAGCCGAAAGGCAAAGGATAGTGGGTGGGGTAAGTCCCGTATAGCCCCTATTGAGGACAAGCAAGATGTGACAAACATCCCATGGCCAGAGGAGAAAATCTGTCAGCCATGGCACCACGATGTCTTCCAAGCGCCGAAACCAACGAGGCTGACTCAGCGGCATTGAGTCGGCATGGGCCCTCCTTGGCCGCGGCGGGCGCGCTGGAGGACGCGAGCATGAGCTCCAGAACGTCCGCAGGCGCTGCCTGACTGACGCCGGAAGAAAAGAAACATGGCACAGATCCGTGAGCTCAGGTGCATTGGTTTGGCTCGGTGATGTTGTGCTTGGGGTTGGTTGGGTTTGCTTGAGTTTGGCTTGGTAAGGTTGGTCAAGTTGAATTTGGTTTGTTGAATGTTGTCTGGTTGGGTTTGGTAAAGCATTCAGAGTGGCAATTCAGCATCGCCCAAAATCTCCGGCTTGGTCACTCCTGAAGGGCATGTTCTTCGTTTACCAAATCCTGGCGGCATGACGTCTTATCACCTGCCTCGTCCCCCCTCCCCCGCCCAGCAAAAAGAAGAAGACGAAGCAGAAGAAGAAGAAGAAGATGATGAAGAAGAAGAACCAGACACGAACAGGTACTGTGTAATCGAGCATCCAACATGATCCACACTTACCTGCACAAGTTCCTTCCCCCGTCCACCACTCTCGCCCAGGGCATGGCCGTTGCCACTTGTCTTAAGACATCTCAATGCCCGCCTTCCTGGTTTAGCGCGCGGCAGCTCGCAGAAAAGCCCTTGATCAAAGCCCTGCTCTCATGGAATCCCATCTCAGCCATGCCCACAACATGTTGTGTTTTCATTGCGTCATGTAGCTTACCCAACTTCCTATGCGTGCAGCCCATGTTGTGGCTTACGCGGCACGTGGGCTTAAAGATGGCCTTGCGCAGCCCAGCTGGCGTACACGATGGCCTTCTCCGCCTTTTACAGCTCCAGCTCGAAAAAACAAAAACTTTTCGGCGCAAGTGCAGTACGGAAAGCATGCACACTTTGGCAGTTCCAGCTCGAAAAACAACCTTTCCGTACAGCTGAAGTACACACGGTGGCAAAGGTTTCTACTCAGAAAAGCTACCAGCCTTTCGCGCCATACGACTTACAAAAGCCTTACGCACCGATGCAACTGTTTGTGTCCTGAGCAGATCTTCGCCGTCTGCTGCAAAGGAGACAACCTGTTCTAGTCCAATCAATCAACGCACGTTGCCATGAACCACGTACGCAACCTGGCGTCGTGGACGCTTTTCTTACGCAACGGGTCGATACGACGCGGTCCTTGATAGACATGCACACTGAGTTGTTCTCTTGCTGACGAACCTGCCCATTTGCTTCAAACCCACCCAACAACTCAATCAAGTGTTTCCACAGCTTATACAAGTCCAACATGTTCAACAAAGAAAATCAAGCAATCCCTGTAGCCGGAACCATCTTCGTGGCAACCCACCCCCACCCCCCCACCTTGCGCAGGGCCTGGACCAGCGCGGAGGCGCCGCTGCGGCCCCGCACCGCCGCCAGGGTTGGCCCGCCATCTCCCGCCAGCAGCTCCCGACACCGGGGCCAACTGCGCAAGACGCTGAGGCTGGGCTGTTCAAAATGGAGGCTTGGCCAATCCGATTTTCCATAATCCCTATAGGAGGGCCACTACAGGGGACTTCTTGCGTAACCCCTGGTAAGGACTATTGATTACCTTTGAACAGACCTATAGGAGGGCCACTACAGGGGACTTCTTGCGTAACCCCTGGTAAGGACTATTGATTACCTTTGAACAGACCCAGGGACTGACCCAACTCTCAGCTTCCTCCCTGACACCAGAACAACAAGCAAACATCATAGAATCAAATGGGTTCTCAAACCTAAGCAAAAACATGACCTACGAGCAAGAAATATGGTTTCTGAATCGGGCGAACATACTCTCTGAATCGGGCGACTTAAATGGGTATGGGTCAAAATTAAACCACCAGGATATGGACCGCAGCTTTCAGACCTTGGTTTCATTGACCAGGGCAAGCCATTTTGGATACCCATTGACCCACAGCCAAATTATGAATCGGGCGAAATAGTTTTTGAATCTCTGGCAGTTTCTGAATCAGGCGAACTCCCTGACAGCGACACCCTGGCCGGTTGGCCTTCTTTGTTCATCTCTTCCGCGTGACTGCCCAAGAAAGAACCACCCAGGAACCAAGAGTCTTAGACATTCGAGTCATAATGACCGGTACTAAAGGAAAACTACCCAACATTATGTCTGGAATCAAGAGGGCCGATATCGCACGTACCTGTAGACCAAGGGTATATGGGGTTTTGCTTGGGGGGTAGCATTATTTTTTGGGAGGCCAATGGAAATAATTTCAATAAGTTTTGCAAAGCTGTCTGACGTACGGTGGAAGCCGAGTGTCCGATTGCAATCTGATTGCATTGTGACGTCATGCAGCTATTCGCTCTCCATCTTCTTGAGTATTTCTCTGTCTTAACAGGCTTCCCAAAAAGCAAAGCGATCTTACACAATACTGTTTTGAGACCCGAGTTGTCCAGTTGGTCCAATTGGGGGCGGGGAGGGGGGGGAATTCAAGGTGCTGGTCGAGTTGATCCAGTTGGGGTCTAGTTGGTCCTACTTTGAATTTACTCTCGCTGTGGCAGCAATGCATTATGGGTTAGATCAAACGAGAAGCAGGGGCAGTCCGTCGGCTGAAAGCATTCAAAAGCGACCCCCCATGTGAGCTGAGCTGCTCAGCATGCCCGATGGCATGATGAATCGGCGCTGCCGGCATGGATGCCGAACACACGAAAGCCGCACAGGCTCAGTTGGCGAAGTTGGCTACAATCGCTTGAAACACCAACAGCATGCAAGCGCTTAAAGGACAGAAACTGAGCTGTGCTCAGATCCCCTGCTAAAAGTTGTTTGGTGGGTTAAATGGAACCCCCACCAAACCCTAAAAACCGAGATAACAAACAAAGGGCACGGCGGGGAACCGCCAAGAAAATTTAAACCCGTTGGAGATGACTTCACTTCACACGCTGACTTTGCACTAAATCCTACCGCTATCTTTGGAGAGGGATTTGAAGAACCTCCCCACCCGTAGGTTACCACCACCTCCGCCTTTTGGAAAAGGCTGGGCAAATAATTCCGCTGCGTGCTTCTGCTTTCGGCGCCAATCGAAAATGACATATTATGGGTGTGCCCATCACGTAGGTGACTGCGAGCAACAGTGTTTGTGTCCCTTTGGGACAAACAACCAATGGCTGATTCTTGCCCATGTCACACCTCGCACAAAGCCTTAAAAGCTGACAAATGAAAGATTGCCTCACGCTCGAGGAATGGATTCAACCGTGAACAAATGCCGCTTGGTCATGATTCTACAGGTCTTGAGCGCGCTGTGCCGGTGACTCAAAGTGTCTGTGTGTGTGTGTGTCCCGAATCAAGCCAAAGTTTTGAGCCACATTGTTTCCTGCAAAACCAGGCTCTAGCCCCGAGCTTTCCTGTCCTCTGCCACCGATTGGACCGGGATTGAGTTCTGGTGGCATATGGACTTGCATTAAAGACTCCGCTACCCCCAGCTCCACGGAGTTTATACCGCATCTTTGGCCCCCGCCAACGTTCAACTTGAGGTGCTCGAGGGTTCGCAAATCACAAACCGGCGTTGACAACTCCCACTCCCAGAATTTCACATGGATTCCGGGCCAGTTTGTGTGATGCCAGTGGTGGGGTTGGTAGCAAGCCACTCCCAAAATTTCTCATTTGTTATTTGTGTTGTTGATCTTGGCTCAAACAAACAGGGTACAAAACGAGATGATCGGCCATTTGGCAACTGGCCAGTAAGCATGTGTATAACTTATTGCCCACTCAGGAGCTTGTAAGAAGGGAATGGGTGATTGTAACATGGCTGATTGTAGCCTATGCGTGGTCATCATAATCGTGGCGACTAACCACTTTTGCTATCTGCTCAAGTACAGCAGACATAGTAGAAAACGGGGAGTTGCTGCGGAAAGCGCTAGGAAGGGCCGATCACCTGGCCCTCCAGATCGCTGGAACTAGTTGCTTGGTTTTACGGATCTGGATTCCACCCTTGTGACCTGCCAAGCTGGTCAGCTACCATGGCTTTGAAAGATCTGGGGTCCCGGTGGCCAAAGAAAAGACGGGGGATCTCCCAAGAAGGGACACAAACCCGTTTCGACCGAAGCCCCATGTCCTGAAGGCGCGGCGCATGCACCAATTCATCAAACTTGACACCGTGTCTCCGGATATCTTTGGAGGGACATCAGCATAAAACAGACCACTGGGCGCATCCTGCTAGTCAACCCGTTCGCCAATGAGAGAATAACACCATGTGCCAAAAGGCGAAAGGTTCACACTGGTATGTGTCCAACCAATAGAAGGCACCTGGTTCCCCTGCCAACTGGTCAGTCTCCGCTTAGCTTCCAGCTCATTGTCAAACCTGTGGTCGCTAGCTTTGACACATGTTGCATGCCCAACTTCAAGGATCCGTTTCGGCCAAAAGCTGAAAGCAAAACCGCCGCAACTTCGGGCTAGTGGACAGACAGGGCGGCAGTTTTGCTGATCAAGGGAGCAGACCCTTCAGACCAACCTCCCCAAGATCCTCCAGCTGTTGTGGCGTTGCTTGTGCCATACGCGGCCATGTTACGTCTCTTTAAGCCCAAACAAACTCTTTGCACCCAAAACAGCATTCAGCGTTGTCTCGCCAAGTTCCATCAAGGGGCAGTCCATTGGGGCATCGGTCCCAGAGCAGCAACTTCAAATCTCCCATTCTGGGCATCCCAACCCGGCTTCGCAGCAGTGCCTGCACCAGCCGGGCAAGGCTCCATGACGCTTCAATCTTGCAACTCGCTCCTTCACGCCAATCAAATGGCCATGACTCTGCGACCTGCGGCTCATTGTACTCATTCCTATTTGGTGTCTTGCAAGGTTTTGGGGAAGTGCCCCGCAAGAAAACAGTGATCATAGGCGCCGCTTCGAGGTCATATTCTGTATGGCATTGGCAGATCCAACTCATCTTAGAGGGCATTACTAGCCTCTGTCAGGCTTCTTAAAGGCCTTTGACAACCGGAACCCCTACTTCTCACATCACTCGCTCATCCTCACCAGGGCAAGAAACCTGTCATGGCGCCTCTGGCGCCAGCTGCAGCCGCGAGAGCATCGCATCGCTGAGATGTCAGCAGGCTGACAGGGGCATCCCCATACTGAGCGTTGGCAGAAGCAATGTGGCTGCGTTATTCAGCTGAGTAAGTGTCAAATTGTATTTGCCTCCGACCCAAGGAATGCTTTTACTTATCTGCAACTGGCACAATCATGCCAGGTGAGACTTCTTCCTCCCCTCAGGCCACTCAAAGAGATCAGTGCCTCCACTAAGGCCACTCAACTCACGTTCCCATGTGCAAATGACCTACTAGGGTTTTGGTCACTCACATGAGCCAACACATTGGATGGTCAGTTTGCCGGCAAGTGCGTCTGTGATTCAGTCAGAGCCTTCCAATATCTCAGTGCCAGCCGGACGCCGGGCGCACAAAGGCAGAAAAGAAGCTCAGGGCTACATTGGGGCAGCGATTGCCAAACAAGGCACGAAAAGGATAATGTTGGCCCCATATTGAGCAACCCCTGTTTGTTAATTGCGGGTGTCCGTGGGTTTAGTGCGGAATCATCATTTTTGGAGGGGAACACCTTCTATTAATAAGCAGGGGTTGACTAATACGGGGCCAACACTATGCTACTTGTCTTTTGCCATTGGCCAAGCTACAGAGGTTACTTGACGGTTGCTCCTGCAAAAAGCAGGGTGACAAAACCGTGCCTTCCTTCTGCCTGCGATGAATTCCATGCTAACCCTTTTATGTCGGGCTTGGAAAGACAAGCAATCTTATGTTACTTTTGAAGAGGTTCGAACGCTGCAACGAACAGAAGCTGATTGGAGCTAAGATTTTTGACATTCTAAGATGTGTTTGCAAAGACATAGCTTATGCTCTCGCGCCCGCTGTTGGATCGCATTCAAGGGGAAGCCATAAGGCGCTGCTATTCAAGAAACATTTATATTACGTTGTGTTTGTTTTCGGCTGTTATGAATTGTGCACACTTGCTTTGGAGAGCAGATTGCTTGGGATTTGGGCATGTGGCCGTAAACTTTGAGTTGCTTGGCGGACTGTATTGAACATGACGCTAACCCCGTCAATAAGGTTTTGTATAATTGACACACTGAAACAGACAAACACGCACGCACACACACACATATATATATATAAATAAATAACACGCGCACACACACACACACGCGCGCGCATAAACCAAAACATAAACAAACAAACAAACAAACAAACAAACAAACAAACAAACAAACAAACAAAGAAACAAACAAACAATCAACCAAACAAACAAACAAACAAACAAACAATCAAACAAACTATATATATATACATAACAAACAAACAATCAAACAGACAGACAGACAGACAGAGAGACAGACAGACAAACGGACGGACGGACGGACGGACGGACGGACGGACGGACGGACGGACGGACGGACGGACGGACAGACAAGCACACAAACGAACAAGCAAACAAACAAAACAAACGGAGGCCTGCACAAGCTCTCACATAAACCAGCGTTGTTTGGAGGTCTCATCGCGTTCCTACAATAAACGGGTTTACTCCCGAATCGGCTGCACAAAGGTCGAACAGTGGCGAGCAACAGAAAACAATCAACACGGTCACTTTCGTTTGCACCGTTGGGCTGCTGAACAGTATGTTTAACAGTGATGAGCGCGTCAAGCAAAAGTAGAAGCGAATATGCACGACACACAAGCCCTATTGCTCTAGCCGGGGCTTTAGTCGACTTAGGCCGGTAGTACACAACCTGTTCGTTCAACGACCAACAACAAGCCAAAAGCATTAAGCGCTTGGAGACCTAGCACGCAAAGCCCCAACGAACAAAGAAACTTGGGAAGCAAACACGCCTGGGCAAAGCGCAGAACGGGCCAGGATCCCTAGAGGTCGAGTCGTTGAGTCGTCCCACATGTGCCCGAGTCCCCACACGTCCTCAAACGGCCTCTCCCCAATCCCGGCTTGGGGCGGTTGAGGGCGTACCGTGAAATCCGTCGCCGCAATCTCCTTCTCATGCCTCGAAAGCTCAATTGTGACGTTCTCCCAAAAACGGCCTTGAAAATCAACCTGAGGGTGTTTACCAGCAAGAGAAAGCTGGAGCCCAACAACTTGGGCTGTTTTTTGGCCCTGCAAAGAGTTAGGGGGTGTTGAAACAGTTGTGAAAACGCTCGATCACTTCCGTCAATCCAAATATCGCCGAAACAACCCGCAGTTGTGCAAGGCTCCTTTGAACCCCGAGGTGGGGGCTCAACCTGGAGTTGCTTCCTGAAATGAGAACCTCATCAGGATGCAATTTTGATTTGCCCTGCCCCACAAATCGCATTTTGTCAGCCACAAAAAAAGCAAGTTCAAAGGGAAACTGACTTTGACTTTTTTGAAAGCGGCTGAAGCAACATGCCCAGCTTAAGAAGTTTTTGAAATTGCAGTTGCCAAGGCGACGCCCTGGTCACCCTTTTTTGCCACCTTTCTCAGAGAAGTCAAAGACGTTTCTGCGCAAAGGTAGGACGATCCAGTGAGTCATATGTAGAAACCGGTCAAATGCCCCTCTAGAAACGCGTCAAATCCCCTAAAAAATCCGGTTTAGGAGAAACCTGTCAAATTCCAAGAAGCCGATCAAATTCAGACAATTCTCTACAAACTCTACAAACCGGTCCAACTCCAGTC